TCGATACCTGCCTGCGTGTACCGAGTTATTTTGTACCGATACCCGATGTCGGCATTTTGTATTCTTGATGTTTTCGCGTAATTGTCCGCGGCTCGTCAACGAGCGAGCTGCGCCCCTCCGCGATCCTGTCGGTGTACCCGTGGCGGTCCTGGATGCTGGCCGGAGGTTGCCCGTATACACATAATGTCGGTCGTTTTACCTATTTATTGGCGTGTGTATCTTTCAAGACCTACGTACGACACACACATCGAGACATGTTGTTATTGGTATAGGTATTTAGACGATTTTGAATATGGGCCTCGTACAAGAACTTGAAGTTAGCGGCTCTGGTGCAATGAACCGCCAGCACCGTGGTTTCCGCGGCACTGGTGTACTTTTTGTCATGTTATTATAATCGCCTAAGTACTGTGCGCGGGGTGTTACTGACGCCGAAACGCATTCGATCTTTGCGTTCTCGCAAAAAAAAAAAAACTAAATAATGCTCACCTACAATAGATATAGTTATTAATTAATCGGTCTCTGTATCTTAATTACCAGACTTCCGCGTGCTGCAGCGATAGTAGATTCGGCTGAGATGAATCGCGCATAAAGATACAAGCACTTTCATTTATTTTAACTTTAAATCTATTATAAAAACACACCGGACTGTATTCGAAAATTGTTTTATGGGAAATAATTTTTAGAAAAATGTTTAAAAATCCCATGAAATTAACCTCTTATATAGTTTATACGACCGACGGAGTACAACGTCATTATTTGTACGACCCACGCGTATACAAATATTTAGAATGTTTCAGGTACGTGAATGCGGACGTATTGCATACGGGCCACTTGTATACGACTGCAGGTACAATCGGTTTAGAAAAAAAAAAAAAAAAGTGCTGATACTGCGGACGTGTGTGCCATTGTTGTAGATGAGGAGTTGGAAGGTAGGATACAGAAAGGAATTTAATATATATGTAACGATGCTAACCATTACTAANGAAAAAAACGATTCTGACCGGAGTTCAGTTGACAGTGCTTCTGGGTTAACAATATATATAAATATATGCCATAATATGATAAAATAATTGAATAGCCATTATATATATTTTTTAATAATATTTATTTAATATTGTACCGTTTTTCTCGGTTTTTCACAGCTGCTGGGGAAATCGAAAAATTGCCCCAATCAGATTTCCTGTCAGAAAAATTGCTATCATTGTAAATTAGAGCAAAACTGCTGGTAGAAAAGTTGTTCACAAGAAAAAAGTATAAATATATATATATTATACTAACGGACCCGACAGACGTTGACCTGCATGATATTTCAAGTGATTAGAATATTAAACAAAGTATGAAATGAAAGACAAATAATATAATAATTTCATTATTCTTGAATATTATTTACTATTTTGAAATTACATCAATTTTTCTAAAAACAATTCGTTATAATCAATAATGTTTGTTTAATTTTATCTTAATGCGAGTTGATATCTCAAACTTATAACTTAAGTATATCATTTTTAAATACAGTAAATAATTGTAAAAATGAACATTTCAATGTTCCTAAATCATATAATCGTATAAGAAAATTGTACTCGTATTTCGCAAATGGTCTCCACATAGATTATTGTTTTTAGATTATTTTCATACGTAAATATTATATATTTAAAGAAAAACATTAAAAATTCACCTTATATACCTAAAACTCATAATCTACACAGTTATATTTGTTTTGAGTAATATTTTATAGTTTCATAATTTTGTATTGTGTATAACATGTATATATTTATATGATATAAATATATTCAAACTCAGTTTTTAAAGAAAATAATCCAATTATTATAAAGTCATTGGTCTTATACATGATTTTCTGTTAATACATAATTCTGGACACTTAGTTTATAGTTAAATACTGATTTAAAAATAGATGTGACATAATTACACAAATATATAATTATAATAAGACATTATTACATTTTAATTATATTATTTAATGTAAAAATACAAATTAATAAATATTAATTAATATTATATTACTGTTATATAGGTTTTATGTATCTAAATTTTAATTTATCCATTTAATTTTAAATAAATACAATCTTGAATGTATAACTAAGAAAAGTATGGGTTTAATCATTTATATGCGTTATTATTAATCAAGATTTCTTTTTGAGGATTCTGTTGATATAGTATATCTTTCATTTGTAGTAAATACTGATATTGTTCTATGTTTATATATCAACTTACGCTTTTAAGTAATACAATTTACATCACAAAAAAATTAATGTCAAATTTTATAATTGTAAAAATTACACTTATGAGTATTTTGTGTTCATTCCACAATGATTTTTTAAATTTACATCAGCACAATTTTTTTTTTTAATATTTACAATTCTATAACACCAAATATTTTTTAATATGAAAATCTCAAAATTATACCTTAATTATTTCAATTTACATTAGTTAAGTTATTGTAAAAATGGTCAATACGAAGTCTTAAAGTCGTATAATCATATTTTAAGAAAACTGTACACAAATTTTTGAAAGAGTTTCTAAATTTTATTTTTTTTTAGATTATTTTTGTACTTGAAAATTATAAATTAGGTGAAAAACATTGAAAAATATACCTTCCACGCCTAAAACTCCACACAGTTAAATTTGTTTTAAATGATATTTGTATACATTCATAATTTCATATTGTGTTTAATGAGTATATATTAATCAATAAGGACATATATTATTTAGTTTCAGTAGTTTAAATATATACATTTATTAATTTCCTTATTATTATTCATATTTCTTTTTAAAGATTATGTTGATAAATTATATCTTTTATATGTAAGTTTTGACATTTTTCCATGTTTTAATTCAACTTACCCATTTGAGTTATACAATTTACATTATAATAAAAATAAACATCAAATTGTATTATTAGGAAAGAAACAGTTATAAATATTTTGTGTTCATTCCACAATATTTTTTTTATTTACATCAGTACAATGTGCTTTTTTTTTAATATTCACAAATCAATAAAACCCAGTAAAAAAATTGTTTTGAAAATCTCAA